TAAAGAAAATCATGAATGAAAGAGGAGAGGTCACAACCAACACCAAAGAATTATGAGCAAATATATGCCAGCAAATTAGATAATCTGGAAGAAATGGATGCATTCCTAGAGATGTATAAACTACCAAAACTGAAGCAGGAAGAAATAGAAAACCTGAGCAGACATATAACCACTAAGGAAATTGAAGCAGTCATCAAAAATCTCCCAACAAAAAAGAGCCCAGGGCCAGATGGTTTCTGAGGGGAATTCAACCAAACATCTAAGAAGAATTAATACCCATTCTTCTGAAACTGTTCCAAAAAATAGAAATGGAAGGATAACTTCCAAACTCGTTTTATGAGGCCAGCATTACCTTGATCCCAAAACCAGACAAAGACCCCATCAAAAAGGAGAATTACAGTCCAATATCTTTTTTTTTTAGGATTTTATTTATTTATTTGACAGAGACACAGCGAGAGAGGGAACACATGCAGGGGGAGTGGGAGAGGGAGAAGCAGCCTCCCCGCAGAGCAGGGAGCCCGATGCGTGGCTCGATCCCAGGACCCTGGGATCATGACCTGAACCAAATGCAGATGCTTAACGACTGAGCCACTCAGGCGACCCTACAGATCAATATCCTTGATGAACATGGATGCAAAAATTATCAGCAAAATACTAGCCAATAGGATCCAACAGTACATTAAAAGATTATTCACCACGACCATGTGGGATTTATCCCTGGGCTGCAAGTTGGTTCAACATCCACAAATCAATCAATGTGATACAATACATTAATAAAAGAAAGAACAAGAACCATATGATCTTCTCAATAGATGCAGAAAAAGCATTTGACAAAGTACAGCATCCTTTCTTGATCAAAATTCTTCAGAGTACAGGGATAGAGGGTACATACCCCAATATCATAAAAACCATCTATGAAATACCCACAGCGAATATCATTCTCAATTGGGAAAAACTGAGAGCTTTCCCCCTAACATCAGGAACACGGCAGGGATGTCCACTATCACCATGCTATTCAACATAGTATTAGAAGACCTAGCCACCACAATCAGAAAACAGAAAGAAATAAAAGTCATACAAATCGGCAAAGAAGTCAAATTCTCACTCTTTGCAGATGATATGATACTTTATGTGGAAAACCCAAAAGACTCCACCCCCAAACTGCTCGAACTCATACAGGAATTCAGTAAGTGTCAGGATATAAAATCAATGCACAGAAATCAGTGGCATTCATATACACCAACAACAAGACAGAAGGAAGAGAAATTAAGAATCAATCCCATTTACAATTGCACCCAAAACCATAAGATACCTAGGAATAAATCTAACCAAAGAGGCAAAGAATCTCTACTCAGAAAACTATAAAATTCTCATGAAAGAAATTGAGGAAGACACAAAGAAATGGAAAAATGTTTCATGCTCATGGATTGGAAGAACAAATATTGTGAAGATGTCAATGCTACCTAGAGCAATCTACACATTCAAAGCAATCCTTATCAAAATACCATCCACTTTTTTCAAAGAAATGGAACAAATAATTTTAAAATTTGTATGGAACCAGAAAAGACCCCGAATAGCCAGAGGAATGTTGAAAAAGAAAAGCAAAGCTGGGGGCATCACAATTCCAGACTTTAAGCTCTATTACAAAGCTGTCATCATCAAGACAGTATGGTACTGGCACAAAAACAGACACATAGATCAATGGAACAGAATAGAGAGCCCAGAAATGGACCCTCAACTCTCTGGTCAATTAATCTTTGACAAAGCAGGAAAGAATGTCCAATGGAAAAAAAGACAGTCTCTTCAACAAATGGTGTTGGGAAAATTGGGCAGCCACATGCAGAAGAATGAAACTGGACCATTTCCTTACACCACACACAAAAATAGATTCAAAATGTTTGAAAGACTTAATGTGAGACAAGATTCCATTAAAATCCTCAAGGAGAACACAGGCAGCAACCTCTTCGACCTCAGTCGCAGCAAATTTTCCTAGAAACATCGCCAAAGGCAAGGGAAGCTAGGGCAAAAATGAACTATTGGGACTTCATCAAGATAAAAAGTTTTTGCACAGCAAAAGAAACAGTCAACAAAACCAAGACAAACAACAGAATGGGAGAAGATATTTACAAGTGACATATCAGATAAAGGGCTAGTGTCCAAGATCTATAAAGAACTTATCAAACTCAACACCCAAAGAAAAAATGATCCAATCAAGAAATGGGCAGAAGGCATGAACAGAAATTTTTCCAATGAAGACCTCCAAATGCCCAACAAACACATGAAAAAGTTTCAACAACGCTCGGCATCAGGGAAATCCAAAGAAAACCTGAATGAGATACCACCTCACACCAGTCAGAATGGCTAAAATTAGCAAGTCAGGAAATGACAGATGTTGGCAGGGATGCGGAGAAAGAGGAACCCTCCTATATTATTGGTGGGAATGCAAGCTGGTGCAGCCACTCTGGAAAACAATATGGAGGGTCCTCAAAAAGTTGAAAATAGAACTACCGCATGACCCAGCAATTGCACTACTGGGTATTTACCCCAAAGATACAAATGTAGGGATCCAAAGGCATACCTGCACTCCAATGTTTATAGCAGCAATGTCCACAATAGCCAAACTATGGAAAGAGCCAAGATGTCCATCGACAGATGAATGGATAAAGAAGTTGTGGTATATATATATACAATGAAATATTATGCATCCATTAAAAGGAATGAGATCTTGCCATTTGCAATGACGTGGATAGAACTGGAGGGTATTATGCTGAGCAAAATAAGTCAATCAGAGAAAGACATGTATCATATGGTCTCACTGATATGAGGAATTCTTAATCTCAGGAAAGAATCTGAGGGTTGCTGGAGTGGTGGGGGTTGAGAAGGATGGGGTGGTTTGGATGATATACACTGGGGAGGGTGGGTGCTATGGTGAGGGCTGTGAATTGTGTAAGACTGTTGAATCACAGACCTGTATCTCTGAAACAATTAGTACCTAATATGTTAAAAAAAAACAAAAAGAAGAAGATAGCAGGAAGGGAAAAATGAAGGGGGGAATCAGAGGGGGAGGCGAACCATGAAAGACTACGGACTCTGAGAAACAAACTGAGCATTCTAGAGGGGAGAGTGGTGAGGGGATGGGTTAGCCTGGTGATGAGTATTAAAGAGGGCACGTACTGAATGGAGCACTGGGTGTTATATGCAAATAATGAATCATGGAACCCTACATCAAAAAAAAAAAAGAAATAGATTATCATCTATTGAGTACGAAGATATTTTTCCAGCACTATTATCCCCTCAATATTCTTTTATATGTACAGGACTAATTTATTCTTGTATCAGAATTTGCTTATAGATACTTAGTCTAAAAAATCATTTTTCCAACCCCCAGAGCCTTAACAGTGGTTCTTTTTACCTACAGCAGGGTTTTTTATTTTTATTTTTTAAAGATTCTTGTATTTATTTGTTTGAAATAGTGAAAAAGAGAAAGAGAGAGAGAGCATAAACAGGTGGAGGGCCAGAGGGAGAGGGAGAAGAACACTCCCTGATGTGGGGCTTAATCCCAGGACCCCAAGATCATGACATGAGCGGAAGGCAGATCCTTAACTGACTGAGCCACCCAGGCACCCGATACAGCATTTTTTTTTTAATTTAAACATGTGAACTAGGATACATAAAATTCTGAAGCAAAATGAGGAATCTGGAAATACTTCCCCAATTCCATGTCAGGAGGTAAGGAAAGTCCTTGAAAGACACTTTGTAAACCTGTTCTATAGGGGAAATCCCAAGTTTTGAAACTTGATAAAAAACTAGCTTCACAAGTTGGTTTTCCCCACCCTTTCTATACTAAACCTATTGCCTATGAGTCTCCCACCTCAAACATCTGCTCTAGGTCTTCAACTTAATTGGTATTCCCCCTAACACACTAGGCTCTTTCTCATTAGTGTTTATCTTTCTGTAGTCCTCTCTGCCTAGAATGTTTTTCACTGATTCTTCTCCTGTCTGACATTCAGTCTACAAAACATAGCTCCAAAGTTTCCATCTTTCTGTGTATTACCCAACTTACCAAATTGACTTAGTTGCTCCCATCTCTGTGATCTTATAGCACCTGGTATGTACTTTTATTATAGTCTGTATCACACTTTAGAGCAATTATTAGTTTGCATGTCCTTCTCTCTAGTTCTACTGTTGACAAGGACTGCTACTCATATAATTTTTCATTACCTTAGACAAAATACCCCAATACAGCAGGTGCTTTATAAAATTTTATATGACTAAAGCTATAAAAATCTCACTGTCATTAAATTCATTTTCATTTTCTACCATATAATAACTTTAATATTTTTTAAAGTTTCAGTTAGAGAAATATTAAGCTTATTTTTAAGTGTTTCATGCACTTTTAAGTTCTTTTATAGTGAATAAAAAGTTCAATGCTAAAGTATGAAACTGGTATTTTTAAGGGAGCACTGCTTATCATGGTGTTGATAAACACTGAATTATTTAAGACAATGACCATTTGGATGTTCTTCTTTTGTAATCATAAGGCTTCTCTACTGAGGATACATCTTCTTTCTACTTTTTAACCTAGTTAAAACTGGACAAGATACACAGATGCTCAAAACCCTTAAAAACAAAGAAAACTATATATTATTGAGACATATAAGTGAGCAGATGTGCTGCATTCTACAGAAGGCTTTGAGACAAGGCTGGTTTGGCTAGTGCCCCTCATCACTGCCCCCAGCACACAAAAATATACATACAATAAGGCCTTGAAAGGAATTTCCTACGAGGAAATGACAATTTTTTTTAAAGAGTCAGGTCCATTTTATTTGAGTCACTAGAATAACAAAACTGTTTTCTTGAATACTTTAAAAATTCAATAATGTAACCTCTAGTACAGCTTGAAAAGCTCTGAAGGACAAGACAGTTAGATGAATATTAGTTTATTTCTAATTCTGGGCAGCATGAACAGACAAGGCTGATCATCAGATGGATTTTATTACCTGTTGGAGTGATAAGTCCTGGTGATAAAAGGCCGGGGACTGAATGGGGCAGAAGGTGAGCATTGTCCTGCAACACTCCCAAAGAACGCTTAGGAGGCCTGCCAGGCCTGGAACTGTTGAAAAACAGACAAAAACAAAGATCAGGTTAAAAAAAATGTACTCTTTTTGGAAATACCATCACTTGCTATATTTGTCTCCTCAATCTTTTTTAATTACCAAGAGTGATAGAATTTTATTTTAAAGACTATTTTCATTGATTACCAAAAGACCAATACTTTTCTTTCTACTCAATTTCCCAACATAGTTATGGCAAAAATTAAAACTATAAAAGACTAATTTTTAGTTTAGATTACATTTTCAAGGCAGCATTTTGCAATACAGCTTACTTGTTGTGAGAAACCCAAAGTTACCTCCTGTTTAAAGCTACATTTGATCCCAAGTATTATTAGTACATGCTACTGAGACCTGAGATAGTGACTCACAGAATTCAGATTGTATAGAATGTGAAGTGATTAAGTCTCTGCACAGAGAGATAAAGGGGTAAAGAGCTAAGAGATGGGGAATATGATGTGATTTTCTTTTTAGCATTTCCACAGATGCCGGGAGACCACCAGGAACAAAGGACCCTCACTCTCAGTAGATTTTTTAAATCTACCTATTATTTAAACCAGGCTATATAACCAGTAGTGCACTCTCTTGGAGTGGCTGTACTAACAAAACCTGCCACTTTTGCTATCTAGGCTGTCTTTTCTCACAGATATATTAGTGTTTTTAACTGATGAGTTGAGGCTAAATTCATAGCATTAACCTGATCTATTCCATTTGCACATTCTTCACCTTAGTGTGAGCAGTTCAGGAATTGCAGTTGCAAAAGTTAATCCATAAAGTAATAAAATAGAAAGTCAGTATCTGGCTTCCATGACTCTAATACAGTCAGTGTACTGATTACATCATTTGGAAGCTGTCACAAAATGAAGAGATTTTTAGGGCGCCTGGGTGGTTCAGTCAGTTGAGCGGCTGTCTTCGGCTCAGGTCATGATCCCAGGGTCCTGGGATTGAGCCCCGCATAGGGGTCCCTGCTCAGCGGAGAGCCTGCTTCTCCCTCTCCCTCTGTCTGCCGCTCTGCCTACTTGTGCTCTCTCTCTCACTGTTAAATAAATAAATAAATAAAAATCTTTAATAAAAAAATGAAGAGATTTTTAAGTCATTGAACATTAGGATCAAGTTATTCTCAAGTCATCCAATATATCCCAAATATTAGTTTCTAATGTTGCCTAAGATATTTCTATTGGTTTTCAGTAAAAATGCAGTTTAAAAGTTGAATAATAGGGCTTTTGACAAAATACTGAAACTATATTAAATAGTCCAAGCCACAAAAATGTATGAGGTTCAGATAGAAAACATTTCCAAAAATGACTTTTGGTTCACAAAAAAAAGTTTAAGTTAAACCTTATTCTATCAATTTTGCAGTAGCAAAGTGCTCCATCAATGTAAGACAAACTCAGCTTTTTAAATGAAGACAACTCCTAGCAACCTCACACAGGGGTACCATTGCCCATTTTATTTTTCATACACTGTGCTGGTGTTATTTACTTTCATTGTACATCAATATTGTATATCAATTTAGCATGAGAGATTCTGCTTTTCTCATTAAATGTTTCAATTTTATAAACTGACTCTCCCCTCCTTTCTACTCGATTCTGAGCCATAACTTATTTTATTTAACTCAGTATTGTTATCCTGTTTGCCTTTACCTTGTTTTATGGCTTCCTCTTTTAAGGAAGTGATAAGAGAAGAGCTATATACTTCAAATGTCAAGGATCCCAAGATCACTGAACAATGTTCATCACTGTATATCCAGTCTTTAGAAGTTGAATAAGCTTCACCAAATCTGTACATTCTAAGTGCTTCTTTGTCTTTTCATTAGTCAGAATACAAGGCTACTAACTTTATTCAAGTCTACCCTATTACTTTGTACTTTTCCAATGTAAACATTTCAGTGTTGTCTTCATGCTCACCATCACTTTCAGACTGCCCCCAGAATTAAGCAGTCTGATGTTCCTTCTATTTCCATATAATGAGCCAGTGCACTTTGAAACCTTTAAGGTTTAACTAGATTTGTTCCAAATTTCTTGGTCAATCTCACAATTTGAAGTAGCTCTTTTCCAATGAGCTGACTCACATTTGAGAGTCATTAGAGGTTTCTCAGGTGGTTCTACCTTAAATTCCAAGATTTGAAAAAAAATTGGTAAAATTTCCCACCATCATATCTATTTTGGGGAATTCATGGCTTATGTTATAAATGGCTTGGTAGTATTTACTACATATGTTATAAACCAAGAGGACCATATTCTCAATCCTAACATTTTTTTCAGTTGGTTGGTTGAAATCATACGTTGGTATGATTGAGTCTCCCCAATAAGAATGTACACTCTATGAAGGCTGTATATATCGCTGATATTGTCACTGCATCCTGAGCAATTCTCATGGTATCTACACACAGTAGGGTCCAGTAAACTGTTAATTAACTCAGTTAATTGTAAATATTTCAGTGTTGCTAGAGTTTCCAAATATTCCTTAAATCACTCTATTCTCCTTGACTACATGAATAGCAAGTTGGTTGCAACATTTAATCATCAGATAATCATTCTTAAATCTTGAAATCCACAATAATTATAGGAGCTTCAAGATATGATCCACTTGAATATGAATATGTACAAAGCTAAAGAAGGTTAGATGCAACTGTGCACAAGGTTAAAGATGGGTAGATGCCACTTATCTTATGCCACTTCAAGAACCACTCAAGGACTAAAGGTTCCTGGAGTTACGCATCTGCAGTGACAATATCACTTATTCAATCATTCAGTAAACACTTCATCATCCAGTAAACAAACATGATCTAAGTGCCCAACCAGTATGTGTCTGGCATGGTACTATCTATAAGAATTATAGAGGTTAAAATTGAAGCTTAACAAAGGAAATGGTTTTGGTCTCTTTGTTTATTGATATAATATGAATACCTAGAACAGCTTCTATCTTTGAAGAGCTTATGGTCTAGTGATAGAGATGTGTGTCTGACCTATTGTTTAAAGTTTTGATTAACTCTTTAGTTGGTATAATTGTATGATATCTAAACTTGTTTAAATTTTTCAGTGAGCAAAAATCATAATCAGATGCCTTTGTTTCTATTTTTGGAAAGAATACTTGGACCCCTAGAATAAATTAATTAGAATCAAATTTCTAAAAGTGCATTATACTCAATAAAGTTCCATACTAATAGAAGATAGCTTTATTTTTACCTTTAGACTAAATGACCCTCTCTAGTAAGGCACTCCTAGCACTAAAGTTCCTGCACTTTTTTTAAATTCAATTAGCTAACATATAGTACACCACTAGTTTCAGATGTAGTGCTCAGTAATTCATCAGTTGCATATAACACCCAGTGCTCATCACATCTCATGCTCTCCTTAATGCCTGCATTTCTTTTCAAAGAACACAAACCTAACAACATGATGCAAGACTATGGAGGACACTGTAGAAATTTGGAAAAGATCATTAACAGATGATGCAGCTTCTTATCTTTAAGAGCTTTATTAACATCAGGCAGATATTTACATATTAATCAAGACAAAAAAACGTGGTGATTTAACTAGAAAACTGTTATTTGGATGACAATTTAATCAGCATAGGTTGAAAGGTCCATCACTGCAGCATCCTATCTCTGCTGAAATATTGATTGTGTTACTTATTTCAGTAATGTTTTATTTTACAGGGAACAAATAACCATGTAATTACTCTTTAATTGAATGATAATTGCTTGTTGGCAATTATTTGTTTTCTGCTTAATTACAAAGTTATTTGAACTCTGTAAAATAAAACAGCTTTAAAAAAATATTCCCACCCAAATGACTCAGTGGATGTATCATCCATGAACACCATACAAAAGTTGTTAAGGTACAAGACAAACAACCTAAGTAATAGAAAAACTTTTATTAAATAACTCAGCTAAATCTTTAAGAGCTTCAGCTTATAGAATCAACATTAGTTGGTTACACCTAATTAATGGGTGGTTTGTAGGGAAATTATACCAAAAAATCAAGATTTTCTCTGGGTCCAGGTCATTCTTTAACATAATTTATCCTAATATATATTTCCTCCTTCATTCTGTAAACTTCTTTAGAAGAAATAAAATAATTCAGCTTCCTGAGGTAAAAGAATAAACCATATTTATAGTATATATATATCATATATATACTATAGATATAGTATTACATATTACATATACATATTACATTACATTACATATCACATATACTATATATATAGTATTTCATATTTCTGCAGTTGAAGTGGATTACCATCAGAGCATTACCTCAGTTTATAAACTTTGTAGAGTTTGTGGTTCCCTCTTAGGGAATTCAGTAGGTCTTCTGGTATCAATAAGATATGACACATTCCATGATATAGCTATTCCATGTTGTAATAGATAAAGTAGCTAATACTTTGTTCATTAAGATTATGAAATTTCACTGTTAGAGTTATTTTTATCTCATGTTAGCATCCGTTTGTACATGAATCAAGGAATAATCAACTGAGTAAGATGAGTGATTTTGTTTTTCAAAGAATAAAAGTCTTGTTAATAAATTAGTTAGTGATGACATGAGCCTTCAGGATATTTAATACGAATCATATAGTCAGTACATGATTTAGTGAGGAATCACAAGTCATGTTATCCTCTTCAATGAAAGCTTGGTTTACTACTTTTAAAGAAATACTTGTAACAATCTGGGACAAACTGAGCAAATTGCTGAAGATATAGTGGCAGTTAGGGTGGCATTAGCAGCCACTTGTAAGACCACTGCAATTGGATTCCCGAAGTGGGACCTGTTAGCAATGACCTGGGATTCACTTTTCAGAGCTATCATTGATATTTAAAATCCCTTGGGATAATCTCTGAATGCATCATGATCTCACTCATATTAGAAGCCAAGAATGACATTAATATTGAAGGTGTTGTTTACCTGACTATGGGAGTACTGCTCTGACTTTCAATGTGCTTTTTAAATTAGATAAGAATCTTCTTGCCAGAACAGTAAAACTTTTAATTGCATCA